GTGTGGCTCCAGGCATGGAGGGTTTGCCCCGTGTTGATTGGTCAACTGGTTGTTATGGCCCATAGGCCCTCCCAGGGTGGTTGCTATGCTCTTCATGTCATTGCTATGTGCTTGTCAGTAAAGCACGCCCAGAGCTGTAAAGCATAGCACCACCAGCTAACTTCTGATTGGTTCCTTGCCACCAGGCAGGCATCTAACCTCTAGTGACCAAGGCAAAGTCATGGCAAGCACGTGTTCAGCTGTTATGGCTGCCAAAAAGGGGCAGGCATCTGACCTTAGTGACCAAGACAAGGTCAGGCAAGTGCATGTTTGGCTGTTATGGCTGCCGAAATGGGGAGCTGGTCCCTTCATAACCTGTTTAGAGATTTTTGTGAGTTTTCTTTTCCCAATCTGGTTATGTCTTTACTGAGCATCTATATTGTTTTCTGATTGCATTAAATGAATCTTAAATTGCTAACGTCAGCCACAGGCACTGCTCAGCTTAATGAATGGTGCTAGTGCGCTGGTTCCATCCTGCAGGCAGCTGCTCCTGGGAGATGCTTGTCTGTGCTGTGGCCAGCCTGAGAGAGACGAGACTAGGAAGCCACATTTGGCTGTTTTTGTGTGTTTAGAACCTATTTAATGCTTTCTCAGGTCTTATGTGGATGTAGGTGCTGAACATTTGGTTGCAATTCAATGATCAGAAAATAGCCCATAATTGAATCTCATGTGTGTTAGACCCCCGGAAAACTCAGGCCTCTGGGGTCCCAGCCCAGGACTGAGGTCACCCCAATCACCAGGCAGATTCGAAAACTTAATGCAAACTGCATGAGGTTTTATTGTTGTTTAACGAGCTAACCCCATGTTAGCTTGGGTCTTTCACCCACCATGGCGGATGGCTAGCAAAGACAGCTCGAAGTGGCTGCAGAGAGATCTTGTAGGGCAGCGTAAGGGGAGTGTCTAGGGGTACACACAGGCTCAGGATTGGTATGCCTCCAGGCTTGGAGGGCTTGCCCTATGTTGATTGGCCAACTGGCTGTTATGGCTCATAGGCCCTCCCAGGGTGGTTGCTATGTTCTGCATGTCATTGCTGTGTACTTGTCCATAAAATACACCCAGAGCCGTAAAGCGTAGCACCACCAGCTAACTTCTGATTGGTTCCTTGCCACAAGGCAGGCATCTGACCTCTTAGTGACCAAGGCAAGGTCATGGCGAGCATGTGTTACTGTCATGGCTGCCAAAAGGGGCAGCTGGTTCCTTCAATGTGGGTGTCAAGGCAATTGATTTGTTTTTTTACTTCATCTGTTCTGTGCTGGTTTTACTAAAAACAAACAAATAAACAACACCATATACTGGAGACCCCCAGCAACATCAGGCCTTATGGAAATCATAAGCCAGGAGGTACAAATGACTTCAAAGAAGTAGCTGGTAAACTGGCTACTGACAAGCACTGGGGAAGATAGAAGAGCTTCGCTAGATGTGTCCTCCTCACTATAAAAGTGAGTGCTGAGCCAGGCGTTGGTGGCGAACGCTTTTAATCCCAGCACTTGGGAGGTAGAGGCAGGCAAATCTCTGTGAGTTCAAGGCCGGCCTGGTCTACAGATCGAGTTCCAGGAAAGCTAAAGAGAAAAATCGAGTGCTTGTTATGTCCAGGTTTGAATGGAGAAAACTCCTGGCAGTTTTGGAAAAGTTGCTGGTGATGAGAGATAGGTTCTAAAGCTTTGGGTATTTTCAAGGTTTTTTGTTTGTTTTTGTTTTTGTTTCCCCCTGTAGAGCTTTGGAACCTGTCCTGGAACTAGAGCTTGTAGTCAGGCTGGTCTCGAACTCACAGAGATCCACCTGCCTCTGCCTCTCAAGTGATGAGATTAAAGGCATGTGCCACCACCACAACTGGGCAGGGTTTATTTATTTTTATCTTAACAGGTGTTTGAGTGTTCTGTCTGCATATTATATGCATGCAGTACCAGCAGGGGTCAGAAGAGGGCGTTGGAATTACAGAAGCCGTCCTCAGAGAGGCAGTGTGGGTCCTGGACAGTGAATCTGGACCATCTGCAAAACAGCCAGTGCTCTTAACCACTGAGTTATCTCTTCAGTCCCAGGTGCTGACATTAAGTGAGCTGTAACACGAGTCCAAGAATCTGCTTAAAATTCAGATTTTGATATTATTTTTAAAGGTTTATTTTTAAATTGTGTGTGTGTGTATGTAAACATGAGTGTGGGTGCCGGAGGAGCAACCACTGAGTCATCTCTCCAGGCCTAAAATTCACATTTTTATGGTGATAAATAAAAAGTCCTATTTGTGGGGAAAAAAAAATCTACCCAAAGTGAATATTTAAATTGTACTTATTAAAGGGAAAAGAAATTTTAAATGGTAAAATCAGGACTCTTGTGTAGACATGAAATGAACATGGCTCAAAGAATCACTAATGAATGATTTCAAAGGAATGTCCAAAGGCCAGACAAATATATGAACTATTCAGCAATGCTGGAATCAATTTCCCTCTTTGTCTTCCCTTTTCCTTCCCTTCCCCCCTCACTCGCCCCCCCCCCCCTTCCCTTTGGCCACATGGGGATTGAATCTAAGGCTTCATTTAAGGGAAGCTAGTGTTCTACCGATCAGTTACTGCCCCAGAAAGGAAATCAATTTTCTTTGTTGATACAAAATTGGCCTTTTGCACAGTGAGGAGAGGGGAGCTATCCAAAACTTACCAAATGGGATTTATTTGAATGTCTGATAATAACTATTTGTACTTATACCAGTGTTCTAAGAATCCATAAGTCTCCAGAATTTTTCAACAGCTCAAAGAAAAGTATAGGTCCCATAAAACCTGATAAATGGGAGGGAAGAGGAGTTACTTTCAAGTAATCTTTTGGCTGCCTCTTCCCCTTAACAATGACCCCTGGGTGAGGGAGTGGAGAGGTGCCTTGGTCCTGCCTCAATTAGATAATGGGACAGATGACTTCCTATAGGAGGCCTTACCCTCTCCTTGGAGCAGATGGAAGGAGGGGGGGGGTGGAGAGAGTGGGAGGAAAGGAGGGAGGGGGAACTGGGATTGGAATATAAAAAGTAAATTAAAAAACAAAACAAAACAACAATGACCCCTGGGCTGAAGAGGCAGCTCACTGGATTAAGAATACTTGCTGTGAAAACATGACAACTTGAATTCAAATCCACAGCATTGATCTAAATTGGGTATGGTTTTGCCTGTAACTCCAACACTGTGGGAGGTTGAGACAAGAAAATCACTGGGGTGGAGCTTGCTGGCCAGAAAAGGGTGTTAGGATTAGAATTTCATATGTTTATGAGCTGCCATGTGGGTGCTAAAAATTGAACCAGGATCCTCTGCAAGAGCAACAAATGCTCATAACCACTGAGTCTCTCTCCAGTCCCCTACCTTGAAGTTTTATGTGTTTAATGCACTGTGGGGCATAGTTGGGATAGGGTCTTGTTTATGTAGCCCTGGCTGGTCTGGAACTTGACATATAAATCAGAGTAGCCTTGAATTTATAGTGAAACTCCTGTTCAGCCTCCCCAATGCTGGAATTATAGATATGTATCACCATACTTGTTCTTTAAGGATTAACAATTGTTTCAGACAGAAATGGAGCTGTATGTGGTCCCCTCCATACCTCCCTCCTTCCCCTCCTTTCCTCTTCTTCCTCCCCACCCGCTGTGTTTTAGACAGGGACTCTTTCATGCAGCTGAGGATGGTCTTCCTGCTTCCACCTCCCAAGAGGTTTTTTTGTTTGTTTGTTTTTTTTTGTTTTTTTGTTTGTTTGTTTGTTTTTTCCAAGACAGTGTTTCTCTGTGTAGCCTTGGCTGTCTGGAACTAGGTCTGCAGACCAAGCTGTCCTTGAACTCATAGAGATTTGCCAGCCTCTGCCTCCTAAGTGCTGGCAATAAAGGTGTGTATCACCACTGCCCAGCTTCCTAAGAGCTTTTATTACAGGCAGGTAACCTGTAACCTGCCACCCAGCTTGTGGTGGTGTTTCTTCTGTGGCCTACATGTCATCTGTCCACTATTCACCCTCTAGCTCCTGCAGATCCAGAAATGGCCTTGTGTTGTTTTCTTGCAAAACTGGATTCAGAATTCTGTATCTATTTAAACTCCTCCAAAGAATCCACTAGGACAAAAGCAGTACAAAATAACAGATACTCTGCTGAACTTTGTCTCTGGCAGACCAAACACCTTAAAGTTTCCTTTTTCCCCTAATATCTCTCTTCTACTGATAGTCTCCTCCCAAGAAGTTTGAACCCTTGCTTATTCTTCTCCGAGTCTGTCTTCCTTCCTTCCTTTCTTCCTTCCCTCCCTCCCTCCCTTTCTTTTTTAAACAAATTCTCTCTCTAATGTAGGTCAAGCTGGTCTTAAACTTACTACTAGTATGGCTCATGGCCTTGAACTTTACCTTATATAGAGGCCTAAATTTTCTTGTCTCCTTATTCACACAACTTTAGTTTAATCCCACAGTGACTCCCTCAAGAACGAAAAGGAACGTTGAATCAACCCATGATGGTTCAGTGGTTTGTGCCTTTGTGTGGTGGGTGAGAGTATCACCATCAGTCTAAGAGGAATTCGTGAAGGTCTAAGATTCTTACAGTCATTTTTTCCAAAGTTCTCCATCTTCAAAAGAAGAAATCCTTTCTCACTTCTAACATTTTGGGTATGCTTACATATTGGTGTGTTCGTGTATGTGTGTTTCTAATTAGCTCCTAAGCTTCTGTAGTATACAGAAAACATTATGAAAGTTTATACAAACAACTCTTCTTGCTCCTCCTTCTTGAGATAGAATCTCATATAACCCATGTTGGCCTTAAATTCATCACTGTAGCTTGAGGCTCATCCCCACCACTGCATAAACAGGGTATACGGTAGCACATGCCTGCCTGTAATCCTAGCACTTGGTACTTGGGAGCTGGAGGATCAAGAATTGATGGTTACATATTGAGAATCGGAGGCCAGATTGTGGTGCACAGACCCCGTCCCCCAACAAACAAAATAAAACAAACAGAAAAAAAAGTCATCAATCCTAAATGAATGGTTTCATATACAGACAATATTGTGGTTATTATAAAAGAGGATATAAGGGACCAGAGAAATGGCTTAGCAGTTAAGAGTACTGGCTGCTCTTCCAGATAACCCAGGTTGGATTACCAGCCCCCATACAGTAGCTCACAACCTTCTATAATTCCAGTTGCAGGAGATGGATCCAACGCTCTCTTCTGGCCTTTTCAAGCATGCTTGAAGGCATACATGGCGGCAAAACATTTTTGAAAAGAGAGAGAAGAGATGGTATAAATTAATGGTCATAAGACAATATACAAATCTAATGAAGAGCACAACCTTTAAACAGTTTTCTTTCCCGCCGGAATATAAGAAAATTAATGTGGTAGAGAAACGCTACCCAGGGTAAAAGAGAAAAAAATTACACGTCTTACAGTGCATTTGTGAACGTTCAGTAGGCTTCTTCCTTCAAAACCAAAAGACAAAAGCGCCATCTCAGGAAGCATCACTTTTCCGAAGACGTTAAGTCTTTACAATTTTAAATTTTAGCCCATCCTTTAACAGAGAAGCTGCCGAGGTAACAGCCGCCCTAGAGGCTTCCGTACAACATGGCG